GTTCCAGAATCGGTGTACCTTAGGTGAAATTCAGATAAACGTTTTCCCTGTTTTACACGACAACAAAAATGACCGAAACTGTACCGAAATTAATAATCTATTAATGTGTTCACATTCACTCTCAGGGAAAATTAATTGTATCAAAGTGAAGACGAATGATTTCACTATGTATGGTAAAAGTTCCAATTTGTAATGTTGTATTTAGCTTGAGATAGAGATATAAACATTTCACCCTTTTCTTGCGACGTTTTGGTATGAAAATAAGGCCCCAGGCCTCGAACAAGCAGCCGTTGTTACCATGGCAACAAGAGTGCTGCAACCTTTACAAGGGCATTTTTGTGCATCCCCCCTGAGTGCCCAACTGCATGCAAAATTTGAAGGGGGGTTGAAAATTTTCATTTCCCAAGATGTTTGATTCTTACTCTAATTCCCTACGGTACAAAGCTCTGCGAGAAGACTTCGACTTATCTAGCCCCATGAAAGCTGGTAGAGCCCTAGAATTAAGCAAAATACAAGCAAAGGAGTTGGAGAATCTCCATCAAACCGTAAACGCGGTAAAGTGTAACAAGAAAAGAACTTCAACACATCTCAAAGGGAAACAGCGCCATCAACAAAATCGCCAAGAGTCACGCACTCGCTACGAGTCACACAATCGCAGCAACTCCCGAAAAGACGATGGTAAATGTAGGAACTGTAGTGGACCATACCCTCACAAAGACTCATGCCCTGCGAAAAACAAGGAGTGCAAATTCTGTGGCAAACTAAACTATTTTGCCCGTGTTTGCAGAAAACCATTTGAGTCACCAAATCCACATGAGTCAGCAAAACACGTCACGTTTGAAGACACGGCTGAAAATGACGAATACGTTTACACGATAGGTGGTGACAAGCAACCAACTTGCAAAGTCAAGATCGATGGAAAACAAATAGAAATGATGGTCGATTCCGGTGCATCGGTCGATCTAATGGACGAAGGCACCTTTAGGGAGTTATACAAACGGAAAGTACCAGAAGTCACCAAGCGCAGAATTTTCCCCTATGGATTATTCACACCTCTACCTGATCTGGGAACTATTGAGGCCGAAATATTCGCTAACGCCAATAGCACATGGACAACCCTACATGTCATCAGAGGTGCTTCAGGAAACCTCCTGGGTATTAACACCGCTACAAAACTTGGCGGGCTCAAGATTATCAACCAAGTCAAACCTGACGTGACCAGTCCCCGGTCCCCCGTCAACGGAGATTTAGAAAGCCTGCTCGGTGGAATCGGCAAAGTAAAAGGAAAAGTCATCAAGCTTCACATAGACCCTGACGTCATACCCAAGTAACAACCGCACCGTCGAATTCCCTTCCATGTCAGAAAGGATGTCGAGATGGAGTTGAAGCGATCAGAAGAGCTAGACATCATCGAGACCGTGACAGGCCCAACGCCCTGGGTGAGCCTTATTATTATAGTCCCCAAGAGCTCTGATCAAGTGAGAATATGTGTAGACATGTGAGAGGCCAACAAGGCTGTTAAACGAGAAAAACACCTGATGTCGACCATAGACGATCTGGTTGCTGACCTCAACGGAGCAACAGTTTTCAGCAAGTTAGACCTTTCGTCTTGATACCACCAACCGGAGCTGGCAACAGAGAGCCGCTATATTACCACTTCCGGCACACACGTCGGACTCCGAAGATACAAGCGCCTCGTGTTTGGAATTAACGCAGCATCTGAGATCTTCCAGAACGCAACCGAGGAAATACTCACAGGCCTCAGAAGAAAAACTTAGAAGAAACATGATGAGAACCTCCGTGGCGTACTACAGCGGCTCCAGCAACTTGGCGTGCGCCTGAACAAGGAGAAATGCGCCTTGTCGAGGAGTGAGATCAAGTTCTACGGACAGATTTTCAGCCAAGATCAAGGTGATCATTGACATGAGCAAACCAGAAGGTGTCAGCGAGGTGAAGTCTCTACTGGGGTTGGCTCAATACGTGTCCCGTTACATCCCAGACTATGCCACGATAACTGCCCCTCTACGGCTGTTAACCAAGAAAGACATGGCATGGCAGTGGGCCGAAGAACAATAACAAGCATTCGACAAGTTGAAAGATAGCATGACCAAGAATCACGTGATGTCATACTTTAAACCAAGACTCAGGACTGAAGTGATAGTCGACGGGAGCCCGGTCGGACTCGGAGGATTTTTAGTGCAGGATAGTTAAGTTATCAGTTACGCAAGCCAGGTACTCAGTGACGTTGAGAGCAGATATTCTCAAACCGAGAGGGAAATACTGGGAGTAATCGAACATTTTCATCTTTACTTGTATGGATGAGAGTTCATCATTACCACAAGCCAACGTTAGCGCGTATCGACAGATGGAAGCTGAGGCTCATGCCCTACAACTGTCAACTCATCTACCGACCTGGCAAAGACGCTGGGAATCCAGCCGATTTTATGAGCCGCCATCCATGTAACATAGATAGAGAGGAGCGCAACATTGCAGAAGATTATGTGAACTAGGTATGCAACCGGGCAATGCCAAAAGACGCTGCAAGAAATCAAGTTAGAGTCGGAGAAGGACATTTTGCTCCAAGCACTTATGAAGGCCGTCCAGACTGACCAGTGGACACATCCCGAAGTACAGGAGTACAGAAATGTGAAAGATGAACTGTTGGTCTACCATGGAACTGTACTGAGGGGAAACAGGATCGTAGTCCCGAAAGCACTAAGAGACAGAGCCGTGGACCTAGCTCTGGGCACCAAGGAATCACGAAAACAAAACGCCTCATCAGAGAAAAAAGTTTGGTTTCACGGTGTAGACAAGGTGGTTAAGGAGAAAGTCAACAACTGTTTACCATGCCAAGTAGCAACTACTAGCAAGGCAGAACGACTCGAACCTCCAAGGATAACACCGCTACCAAACGCTCATAAAAAACACTCGCGATGGATTTTCTAGGACCACGCCCTTCTGGAGAGTACCTCATGGTCGTCATAGACGAATACAGTCGTTTCCGAGAAGTTGAAATTGTCACATCCACTTCTGCTAGATCCACCATCCCGAAGCTTGACGCAATTTTTGTTAGACAAGGAATTCCTGACGTCTTAAAGAGTGACAATGGACCCCCCCATTAATGGCATGGAGTTCAAGAACTTTGCTGAACATCTGGGTTTTCACCACCACAAAATCACGCCTCTTTGGCCAAGGGCAAATGGGGAGTGGAGCGTTTCATGAAGACACTAGAGAAATGCGTGAGAACCGCCACCGTTAGGCAAAAGAACTGGAAGCAAGGACTCCATAAGTTTCTACTACAGTATTAGCGACAACTCACTTGACCACTGACATCTCATCGTGTGAAGCACTTAACATAATAATAACCAGTATTTATATAGCGCACCTATCAAAAAGAACTCTCATGGATTAACTAGAGGAAGCTTAAGACTTCTCTACCAGAAGTGACACCACCCGTTCTTGAGAAACAGAAGAACATGACCGATAGGGATGCAGAACAGAAAATGAAGATGAAAACATATGCAGACCAAAAGTTAGGAGTCAAGGAGAGACACAGTTTTAATCAAGCTACCAAAACGCAACAAGCTAGGCCCCCCGTTCAGTCCAGTACCTCTCGTGGTTTAAGAAAAATGGATCTATGGTTACGACAAGCGATGGGAACCAAACTGTCACGCGGAGCTCATCCATGTTCAAAGTTGCCCCAAGTCATATTAGGCATACTTAAAAGATAACACAAGAGCGGGCAGACGAAGATTTAACAGTAGAACCCTGGTCACCAAAGTTTCCAAAATTGACAAGTCATCAAGTTCTCCAAGCCCAACTAATGCAATTGGATTTTGTTACAATTAAACATCTTCCAGTTTCTCGTTTTTAGCTATTAGAGATACGTTGTTTAAGTCGATCTTTTAGATATACAAGTATCTAAAAGTTTATAATCAAGAAGGGGAGAGATGTAGTGTTTCTGACAGCTGCCAATCACAGTGTTTGGAATACGCACGCGCTCCAAAAGAAAAAAGGAGTTTTTCTGTAGTCGGGTATCGTCTTGCATGTTGATTAAATATCTGTGTGTTCAACACAGTAAATAGACACTGAAACTTTGGATGCAAGTTGCATCCAAAGTTTCAGTGTTTGTTTAAAGCATAAACACTGCCCTGCCTACGAAATAAAAAGGAATACCTCTTTAAAACAAAATTTTCGCTTGTCATGAAGAATTTTGAGCCGGAATTTTCGATTTTAATTTGCGAAAGTAAGGAATTGATCTATTATTTAGCTCATTATGTATGCAGGATCTAACTCATATATCGTAAACATTAGACGTATTTGACATAGAGGAAAAGACAGGGAAGGGAAAATGACATTTCGAAGACTTAACGTCTTTTAATTTCAACAGTGTCTCTGAATAATAGATCATTTCTTATAATTTCGTGAGGTACACTCCATTTATCTGTATATTTTCAGTCGTTCCCGGCTCTCCGCCTCTATGCATTCTAAGATGACCACCCAGAACACTTTTAAGGGTGGCGCCGGTCAGAAAATTTCAGTCATTTTACGCGACAGTAGCACTAAAAACGCATTAAACTACTGTGGTCAGGCAGAGGCAAATTTAAACCTTTTTCGGTTTATTTTGATGGTATCATCCTTGGACGAAACCTCGCTTGCAAACATTAAATTAACCTCGATCGGAATAAGAGAATGGCTGAATATAAAATTGGATTTCAATGCAAATCTAAAGTGGTATGTTTTTTCCAAGAGCTGTCTTGCCCTCGATAATGAGCAACCAAGCGATTCTCAAACCTGTCGATGATACTGTATCTCGGCATCAATTCAGGGAAGTGGATTTTCTCATGATAAACCAAACATTTCACCAACACTTTCCAATCGTTGTCTATCGTCGAGCATGGACAAACATTGGAATTATTTCACGCCTTCTTTTGTAAAAAGTCACTCGCAAGGAATTTAATTTTGACTGCAGTTTCACTTTTGTTCTACTTGATTTTCAGTTTGTGGCAAGCCCAAACTGTCAATTTGTTCTTGACGAAGTCATCTACCACGGAAATCCTGGTTGGCGAAATAGGGGAATCGGGATTAAAGCAGGCTGGTGCTTGTTCCAACTTTTACTGGTCAGCCTTACGATCCCCTTTTACATCCCTCTTAAGTTAATTCGCAAGAATTTCCCGTGCTGCGGATTTGACTGCCACTGGCTGAGAATTCTGTATGAGCATCCTTACTCGAAGTTTCTTAACCACACCTTGTCATGCATAATATTTCTGGCTATAATCTTTGGTTCATCTTTTGAGTACAAGTATGGGCCTGGCGGAGCAGGCCTTACGTGGATTGGTAAGTTGATTTCATTTGAATAATCCAATTCAAATCTTGGCCTCTTTAAAGGGCGAAACGGAAACTTGTGTAAGATATATTTTATTTTGATAGTTAGTCGTCACGCAAAATCCAAATAAGTACTGTAAGAGGAAATTTCTTGACACAAAGTCGTGATTTTATCTTGCCACTTCCCACCAATAAAATCCAGAGGAACTTGAGTGCTTTTGAGTCCAACTGTTTCAGAGCCCCAATATTTAACAATTGGTTCATATGTCAGCGTGCGTTCATCGAGATATGAAACACGCGGGAAGTTTGGGAGAGCACGAAAGATGCGTAGGAGTTGCTCGAGGTTTCGACGGAAATAATCGGAGCACAAATACTGATGCAAACGGGGTTTTTTTTACTTGATAACTGCCTGGTGATTTTGTACCACGTGAAAAAAATAAACCATTAAATCAGTCGGAAATAAATGAGTGGGCTATAATTAACAATTAATTGCTGAGGGTAAAGTAAGATTGTAGAGGGTATTTTCAACTATATTCAATGAGCTTGAGGCGATTAATTGTCTAGTATAATAGTTCAGATGCTTCAGAATTCTGTTGTAAATTCGTTTTGCCGTTGAAACCATCCTATTACAGTTGTTTAGAGTCCTCGTATAGAGATAAGCAACCAGTTTCCATTAGAATTTAACAGGTTTATTTTGTTCAATTAGGAAAAACTCCATATCTTTCTTTTGAAAAGAGTTAAGCCCAACTTTGTGGCATCTTTTGTGCTCCTCAGAATTATATTTTCCATCGTAAAATTTACAAAACGTGAGGTAGCCGTTGGAATATTATGGGCCCCTGCTATAATCACCTCGCGCGAGGTGATTATGGTGAGATACTGCGCAATCCTAAAGCCACTGGAGTGAGTGCATTTCTATACACACCTGAGCAATTATACTACACAGAAATATCCGTAAGCGCTATCATAACAGGTGAGCTACAACGCCCGCCTTTTGTTTTCATACCTGACAAGATCTAGGGAACATATTCAGAAGAGGACTGCTGCAAAGTGCAAGCATTTCGGAGTTTGCAATTAATCCTTGTTCATAGGTAAACAAAGAGAGTACATAAGCTTTACGTATAACTTGATTACTTACTCCTACCCACAGATTTGGTTATAATGCACTTCGTCCTCGGCCTACTTATACAGGAAATTGTGGAAGCCTGGAGGCAAGGTGCTTTCATTTATTTCTCAAAGTGGTGGAATGTTGTTGATATAGTGATCATCCTCACATTCGTGGTGGCCTACACTGTATGGTTGGCCGCGTGGGGCGGTAACGAAGAGTGGAAGCCTGAAAAAAAATTATACATCGTTGCAGATGCCATTTATGCCAGTGCCTCCGTCGTGGCCTATTTTCACTTGGCACACTTTTTCCAGGTCAATTCAACGCTGGGTCCCTTACAACTGTCACTTTACAAAATGCTGAGAGATGTCCTTAAGTTTCTTGCCATCTTTCTCCTTCTCTACTTTGCGTTTGCTACTGGGGTGGCCAAGATTTACTCGTACTATGTTGCCTCTCAGATAGAGCTCAAAAAGCAGGACACCAAAAACACTGACTACCAAGTTTCTCATCCATTTGCTTTGTGAGTATTCCTGAATATCTTTAGATTTCTCTCATGGGTGGTTGTCGAGCTCAGTTCGGTTTCAAACTATTACTGAACACCATTTCGTTTCGTGCTTAAAATTTATTTTAATAACATGTTGCCATGGTTGAAAAACTTAAAATATTTCCCAGAATACTGGGTATTCTTATTCCCCCTACTACCTTTTAACTCTCCTTTGCGAGCCCAGGAATGATAAACAGACACAGACTCTTTTCAAATAAAACTGGAACTGACGACACCTATTATATATATTTCAAAGTTGTTTGCCCGTTGCAAAATTTGATTAGTCATGAACTCATATTGATAGCAAAGCCTAGTCCATGGCTATAACGTTAGTTTCCATAAAAAAAAATGAGATAACATTTCGTTCTCACACCTTTTTTCAGACATGCCAACACTTTCACTATCTTGTTTTGGTTGCTATTTGGTGGAGGTGAACAGGAGGATAGCATTAAAGTGCGGGATCAAGACTTCACTCTCATTACCTTCTTTGGTCGCCTATTTATGGGAGCCTATGTCATATGCACCAGCCTTGTTGCCCTCAACATGCTGATAGCTATGATGAACGACTCATTCCACAAAATCAAGGTAATTTTAAAGAGTTATTTTTGTGCTAGGTTATTCTACAAACAAACCAGAGACAAAAACTAAAAAGTTGACGCAAAAAGAAAACCACAAAAGTTTAGGTGTCTCTACAATCACAGTAAAAGCTTCTTTTAAAAGACGATGTGGTTTTATCAACTGAGTTGATGATATAAATTGCTGACCGTAACCAGTTTCTAAAGCTGATGCCTCGAGCGTTATCATCTCTTTGTCAGTGAGAAAAGAAAAAGGGTACTGTGACGTAAAGCTGACGTTCGGAAAGTCACCTGTACAAACTTTTTAGGTGACCAATTTACATTATCAATTCAGATAATGAAAAAACGAATTATCTTGGGGTACTCTCCATCAACGTAGCATCATACTTTCGTCAGAAACTTACCCATTTATCCATTAAACATTTTTTAAAAATCACCAAGGCAATGCAGACTAAATATTAGAAAAAGAAGATCGCCGAAATCGTTTCAGAGACACATGCAAAGGAGATGATTAAATGCAAGGTACCGGTTCCACTAAACAACATTAGGAAACCCCTCTTTCCCCTGCTATAAATTAACAACGCTAACAAACATGTCTGACGATAACCCCCCCTGCAAGCTTTAGTTAGGGAAATTTCCCTAACTTCACATTGAAATCACCAACCACTTAGCTCTAGTCTCTGTATATGATGCAAGTTGTTCTCTGTTTTTTCAATGCTCAGTTAAACGTAACATATGCGCTTTTTCTCAGAAAAACGCTGATGTAGAGTGGAAATTCTCAAGAACCCAAATGTGGCTGGAATGGATCGACAAAGACAACTCTGTTCCGGTTCCATTCAATATTCCATACGTCGTTCTGCGCCTTTTCTTTTAGTTTTGGTGCAGCTGTCGTGAATCACTGTGTTTCAAATGTAAAGAGGTACGAAATTTAATTTTAAACTTCACTACCCCTACTTTAGTCCTCTTTTAATGATCCAAATGAATGTCCTGTGATATCTAATTTTGGCATGCAGCGTTTGAGCGTACAGAGAGCTGACTAGTTCAATTAGCCTGTTCAAATCGTTTGTCTAGCCATTTAGAGCACGTAATAAGTAGTGCGTAGTTAACAAAATCTTTAACACTCATTTCCAATTTAAAATGTTATCCTGGTGAAGAAATCAGTCTAGTTTTTGTAAAAAAAAATTAAGTAAGAAAATCGAGAAAAATTAAGAGATTGTGCGATGATTTGGATGCCCATTTGATGGTGAATAATATCCATAGTTGGTTAATTCGAATTCAAGCGTCAGCGTGCATTCAGTCTTACTACAATTTGACGTCATTTAAGATCCAAAGCTGAAAAGACGTAGGTCAAATGGAATCTATTTGTTAACCATAGACGTGAATCTATTATTCTTTTTAATAAAAACAGAATAACGAAGTCTCAAGAGAAGGTATTCCCGGATGCAATTTTGAACGATGTGACGGCAGCGAGGACTCGGAAACTTTCGATAAGAAGGTACCCTTAACAATTTTTTGTACATTTGTTTATTTGGAAATATTTCTGAAGGTGTAACATATCGTTAAGTAACCACAGTTCGCTGTAATAAAAGAATAACACAACTCTAGTATGAAAAGTTCAGAGACTGATTAAACTAATTAACTGACTCAGAGCTAACCAATCGACGTTCACGAAATGAACCCTTCACTTGGGTGGGATTTGTCACTAAATTAACAAAAAAATCTATTTGGGGCAAAAATATGCATGGATATTTGTTCACGATCAATAGCTATTCCGAGAGATCGAGTAATTTAAGGAACAGATCTAGATGTCCCACGACAACTATACGACAATATTTTGAAGCCGAAAAGATCCTACCGTGTTTATCAGCCTTCAAGCATTTGTTTTATTATTACATTTTTAGCGGGACAAAAAGGTTGGCGTCAAACACTTGTAAAGCGTGGGAAGGGGATATTTGATAAATTATAAATGAAATTGACAAGTTTTCAACGAAATGGGGGTAAACGCGGTAGACATTTACCGAGCCGCAAAGCTGCGAGGTAATATCCAGCACTTCTACCGATGCTGGGGTGAATAATTGTTTTAGTATATACCACACAGAAACCAAAACAATACTTTATATCTCCCAATATACCGAAAAATTTTAACCTAACCCTTGACGTGCGATTTTGCTTATTTGGCTGTTCCGAGTTGAATGGTACTTGTTAATTACCTCCGAACTAGCCAATCAGCGCTCTTGAAAAGCACTATTCAGCCGAGTATTAGATACTAAGGTGAAATATCTGAATCGAGCGAATAGAAGTTAATTTTCTCTAGTCTCCACTTTATTTAACTGAGGATCAGAAGGAAAGTAAGGACCTTTAAAGCAAACGAGGGTTTTAACTCAAGGCAACCTTGTTCGAAACATTCCTAACGAAGCCTCGGTAGATGAATGCTGGTTACCACCATGATCAACATGATTAATGAAAGTAATAGAACTGAGTGGACTCCAATTTGGCCTGTAATCATACGAGTGATTAACAAAATCGGACGACAGCGAAGCGAGAGTCCGATTTGTCAATCACGAGTATGATTCTGTGATTGGTGGATTTGACTGAAAGGACTAAGTATGATTGGCTGCTTCAACTGTCCGATTACAGGTTTCTGATTGCAGGTTTCTGATTACAGCCAACTGTCCGATTACACTGTCCAATTACAACTCTACAGAATGATTAGTGAAAAATAAAGCAGCTAATGCACCAATCACATTTGAGGAGATTTTAATGATGATGATTATGCAATTTATTGGCAAACTCTCGTGTACTAATACTAATGCCATTTAATTAATTATTCTTTCGTTTCACTCTAGTCAATGAATCAGGAACGCCTTAAAGCAGTAAAAACTTTGGTCGTAGAATATCTGAAAAAGCACTACGAAGCCAAATGGAATGAATGCAGGGCAGCAACTACCTGAAGGGACTCTGAAAAGGATCTACCATCAGTGTGCTCAGGCTGAAGATAATCCTTGTTTGCTTTGTTTTGTTTCAAATGTGAACAGACCGATGTTTTATCGTAGCCTGTACAGTTTTCGTTTCTTGATGCTAGATGGTAGTCTTTCTCTAAGGCCAAAGTTGACGAATGCACATACTGTAGGAAAGCTAGTGAAGATTTAATGATATACAGAGTCGAAAGTTTTTGGGGCAAAAAAAAGTTGAGAAGCCAACTTCAACGTTTTAAAAGCGGCTATTACCAACAGAGGTCCCCAAATTTGTAATGACCACAATTGTTACTTTAAGAATGATGATTAATTTCTGAAATCAGAAAATTTAAAGTATGCTCTAGATGCAGTTTCAACTCCATCTTCTCCATTCCAAAGTATCTATCTTTGCTTGAGTGTTACCACGATATTAGCTTAAGATTGGCTAAACCACTTTGAAAGACGGGAGGTTTACATATGGGTATTTCGAAATAAACCAGGTTCTAGAAGGATTTGACTGATGATTACATACTAAGTTAAATTACGCACGCATTTGATTGGTTATTTCTCATGATCTATTAGTGGACAGACGCATAGATGACGTCACTATTAGCAACACTTTCTTTTTTATCAAATAAAACAGATAGATTCCATGGTGCCGTGGGTTTATTCTATACTAATAGGGACCTTAAGCAAACCACGATGGCGACGGCAGCGAGGACGTGACGAAACAAAAGATCTAACGAGCAGTACAATAGCTCACTCAGAACGTGCATTTTTAAACTGTGCACATTTCTTCGCCGTTCTCTGCAAAATAGCAACGTGAAATCATCAAAATTTGCGTGGTCCGAGAAAGGAAACCCTAACGGCAAATTATTTCAGTTTCTAGTTGGAACTCAACGCCGCCCTCATACTTCATACTGAGGTTAACGTATGGCGCCGTTAGAGATGGTAAACACATGCAGTCAGTCAGCGAAATTCCAACTAAAAATTTGTATTCATTTTTAAATAGACGTCTTCCTTGGCGTCCTAACTGCTAAAGGTCCCTAATAGATCACAAAAGACTTCAAAATATGGTAAGAATATCAGGACACTCGGCCGTATTTTTTACGTTCCGTTTAAGGTTCTTATCACAATTTGATGTCATCTGTGATCTATTACTGAACAGAAGCACATGTTGGCTGGATAATGTATGTATATTACGTAAAAGTTACATGTAAATCACTTCTGAGAGTTAAAGGGTTAAACAAATCAAAACTAGAAGCAAATAGCTGAAGATGAGCCAAAGGAGGCTAGTAGATCCTGACAGGCTGGTATCACCAGTTCAATGGGAATGTATTGTTACTTTTAGTTAACCTGGTTCCTGTTAGTTTTTTTCTATTCTCAGACAAGAAGATTGAGTTTCAGACTCCAAATACTTATACATAAGGAACGAGTGATTTGGCCAGGTTTATGCCCGCAGTTGTTGACTAGCCATTGTTGTCAAGACCTTTTCAGTCAAGATCTTTGTTCATGGCCCATATGTCTCCTGTTGCGTTTGATGATGACTTGACAAGACAAAAAGATGATGTGCTACGAGCAATCCTTCCTCTTCGGCGAAGGCTGTCGTGCGAGTCCAAAGTCTAAGAATAGCTAAGACCAGCTTGTGGTTGGAGTAATCTAGAAATGAAGCATGTTCGTCAACTCGCAATTAGTAGTCTTGTAGCAAAACTTGCATGGGAAAGATTAAAGTGACTAAAAGAACTCCAAAAAAGTCGCGAGGTTTTTTCGGTCTCACTTCGTGAGTGTGCTCGAAAGCTTCCCGAAAGTCACAGAAAAGTCCAGAAAGATGGTAACCAACCAACTCCGCAGAATTATGAACGCACACCTCAAGCGGTCTACAAAAATAGTATAACATAGTGTCCTGTGTTTATGGAATTTCCGTTTGCGAATTTCATCTCTGGTAAACTGTACGTCTGTGTTTCCTCCGCTAGGGTTGTGGTGGAATGCGTCGATTTCGTCGTGTCGCACGGCGGCGAATGTATCGTCAACGCTACTTAGCCAAAACGGTGTCGTTCGTCGGCAAGTCGATAGGGCGCGTTCCTCAAACATACAGTTTACCAGAGAAGTCGAAAAAACTTGGTAATAGAACTTCTTTTTCTAGTCTGCCTGGTAAGCCGTAACGACAACTCACTACTGACGACAGTTTGCAGGAGACAGACGCAGGAAACCCTTCATCACACAAAGCCATAACTACCAGGACTCTACCACGACGATTGCAGCTTGTATACAACACGACAGACAACTTATCCGACGAGAACAAATACCTTGACCGTGGTTTTTCAAAGAACAACTACCAAAACAAACGAAACCGCAACTCCGACGACTACAGCGACTATACAGTAAATAAAGGGCATGTCTGAGAACATCTCGCATATCCTACAACCCTTCAATATCCGCATCGCCCACAAACCCATCACCGCACTAGGCCAGTTACAAACAAACGCCAAACACAAAGAGGAACAGCGCGAGAAACTGACAGGGAGCGGTTTATGAGATCAATTACTCCGACTGCCACGTCCCTACATCGGAGAGACTGGCAGAAACCTCACAACAAGACTGACCGTACGCAAGCGAGCGACAAGGAAAGGTGATCACATCATTGACTTACGAACCACACTTTTGACCGAGACTCTGCGTAATGCCTAACCTGACTGGAAAGTTGAACAGACTAACCTCAACAGGCGTTAACTACTACCAGCACCATACAAACGACTTCGGCACAACATCAACATTACAAACAAACGACCAGGACGACCGAATTTTACCCTCGGATCCAAACAGACCAATCACGTCCGTCTTACCCCATTTGAGTCTTACAGGCAATAACATCACGGCAAAACTGACCAATCAGTCTATACGAACCGGACTTAAAAAATTCGAACGATATTACACTATTCACTTGACTCTGTTGATGAACTCTGCTCAGGTTGGCGAGACGTTACTCACCACGACCGACAACAGTCCTTCTCAGAACTATCTGAGTATCGCTCTGACGAAGGGCTAACGCTCGAAACGTCAGCATTTTTACCCTTTACGGTGGCTAATTTACGTTTTCAACCCAGTTGTTAACACAAAATTACCTGCTTCTCAGAACTACAATATCGTAATTACTAGAGTTAACCAACAGTATTCACACCTTTAGGAGAGTGAGAGAGAGACTTATTTGCAAAAAGAGATATGGTGGCTAGCGCACCGCGCCGAACTCTGGGAGTACTTTTCGCGCGTCCAACTCGCGGAGTTCCGCGCGCTAGCTAGCATTTGATTTTTTGGCTGATTTTTGAAATTCGCGCGACGGACATAGCCGAAAAAGGAGAGCTGGTCGAAATTAACAAAGATGAAGCCTGATTTCACACTTATGACTCCACAGGTTCGAAAGCTTGACACTTACACACTAGACTCTGTAAATTCGTGGCTATAATTTTCAAAATAATTTAACATTCAAATGTTAACATATTTTAATCAACATTTTTATGTATTATGATACATATAAGTCAAGTACAACGTTATATTAAAATTTGTATGTATCCATAATGAGGGTGATATGATTGATGATAATAACAATGTCTAGCGTCTCTTTGAATTAAATATATAGTTTTATTCCGCTGTAAATCATTTTTAGCTCCCTGATTCAAACCCACGTTCATCACTTCAGGTATCAAGTAACGCTACCAGCTAATGAGTCTGGACCTTAAGAAAACCTCGACGACGACAGCAACGGGGACGTGGCAAAACAAAGATCTTATTGGTAGAACAATGGCGCAACGCTGCTCACATACGCTACGCTAAAGTTGAGGTATGGCGCCACGAGAGACGATAAACACATCCAGCCATTCGCAAAATTCGAATCAAAAACACAAAATCAGGTTTCAATTGAAGTCTTCCTCCACGTTTTCGTCGTACCTGCTTAAAGGTTCCTATTTAGAGAGGGCAACAGTCAACCTAAGGATTATTACCAGTGATTGCGATGGATTGAAAGTTATTTGTAAAATTTGCATCACAAGACGGGGGGGAAGAAAAGAAGAGAGATCTAGAGGAGGTTTGAAGGGTGCGTGCACCACCCCCCTGATATTACCTGAAGCTTTTCAATATCTTTACAGAATCTGCTGTATCATTTCTTTTGTACTCTCAGCAGGTAAAATTACGTTATTGCCTCGTTATTCGCTTTTCAAGTTTGTGTAAGCCACCCGTCAGTTCCACCAATCTCTAGTTGTATACCACCCACCCCACCCCACCCCACCCCACCCCCCCCTTCCCGTAGAAAGGTGAAAGATCCTGGATCCGCCCCTAGAAGACATGAACATTTCTAAAAATACCAGCAGCTCTAACGTGCTAATACTTTTGTAGATATCAAGAAATCACAGCTTGTAGGTTATTTCAGTAGGTGGTGGGTCAATCAATTGTAAAAATCTGTCGGAATACATTTTCGAGGATCATCAAATAAATTAACTAGTTCTCTAACACAACGATAATTATTAATCATCTCGTCTTGAAAATGACGGCGAAGACTGTCACAAACAACTGTATAAGGCTGGGTACTGTTAGAGAATTAGACACATTGTAGCTACATTGCATCTCGACGTTCTTCAGAGCGGGGCACTTTTCCTTCTTTTTAAGACTCGTTTGGGTCTCAATGTGTGCGCATGTGCCGTTTACGATGCGAAATGCGCCTGCGTCATACACTCGGTTGCTAATGTGGCAGTTAAAGTTATAAAAGTAGGATTGACGGTACTCGCTCCAGTTATCTATCACAAGCAGATAGAGATTAGTCCTAGGGAGAGCCGAGAGGAAAAACTTCCCGGATCTGCAAGGACCATCAACAGAGTCCGCAATGATGCCGTCAGGACCTACCAAATAAGACCGATGAAAGTCAATTCTCTTACTGATACGGGTCATAACAAGAGACGAAAAAAAAAGTAAAAACATAAAAATACAATGATGTTGAAAATCTATCACGATTCCAACGAGAGCATTCAAGCCGCTGACCTTCCGATTTCTCAGTCTGTAACTCTACTTACTAAACTATAAGGCGACCTCGTTGGCTGGCTGTTATAGCTTTCCTGAGCATCAGCATCAATACATGCGGAAGTTAATAATATACTAAGCTTACCCAGAACAGCATCGTCTGAAGTGTAGCCTACAACATCCTGAATGCAGCCGTACTCGTTTCTAAATGGAGGAATAGGCCCTCTGTTCTTGTAGTAGTCATCTTCCTGTTCAGGTGTTCTAACGATTCCTTCCAGTGTTACCTGAAAGATAAGTTATTGGCTCATCATGAAATATGGAAGTGTGAGAACTTTAGAGACGCACTAATGACATAAATGAGTATTGATTTTAACGTGTGGAATAGACTTTTCGAACCTAGGTTGTAAATATGGTTACCAGTCGTGGACATAACATGCGCAAGAAACACAGCAACACCATATATCTGGTATGGATGATTCAAGACGAATGTTTCAACTTTAACTAACGGGAAATGTCAAGGAATCTCGAGGCTGTTACTTCGTAAAGTTGATTTGAAAGAAGATGTTAGTCAGTGAATAACACAGGCATACCCGGAGGAAAAGAACTCATGGTGCTCACAATAGGAGTCGAACCTGCGACCATCAGATTAGCACTTCAGATGCTCTACCACTGAGCTGTTGGAGACACGTGGCAGACTAGCCCTTTTAACTTGGTCCATGGGGAAAAACTTTCTGCATACTGATAGGATAGGAATGTCGATATGTGACACTTATGCGCAATGATGATGTAAATGAAGATGGTGAATTTTAAGTGAAAGAAGATGTAATCTTATTGATACAGTCAATTTAATGAAAATAAACAAGAATTCGCTGAGAACGAAAAGATCCTTACAGAATGTGGAGTGAAAAACTCGAAGCATTTGTCAATTCACTTAAATGGTCATTCGGAAAGCTTACTGATGGACTCCCAACCACAAAGAGACCTAAACAGTTGTAGCTCTTTTAAGGACACCGAAGTGGAATAAAACGGGTTAAAATGGACATACCTTTGGTGCATACGGGGAAACGCTGCAAATTCCCTGGAAATCAACTCGTTGGTTAGGGACAAAGAACTTATGCTTTGTGACCAAAAGTTTCATTACGTCACCCTCTTTACGTCCCAAGCTTACTCGTTCATATTCTCGCGCGTCTGTGGTACTCGCCAGAAGGAAGTCTGGATCGGTGACTAAATTAGCCAAGTTATCTACTAGGTAGCATCTAAGAGAAAAAAAAAGTCGTGGTTTGGGACGTTGTTTTCTTCTCCGGATTGCAAGATAATTTAGTTTTATCAACTGAATTGGTACTGTAATTTGGCCACCGTTCAGAGTATCTATGGCTGACATTTCAAGCATTAGCCCTCCGTCATTTTCTCTGACGAATATTATCTCTCACCGACTCAGCCACACAGTTTCTTTAGAGACTTGCTCTCTTTTTCACTTCCTTTCACTTCGTTCTATGCCGCATGCAATTTTTTTCAGGAATTGTGTTTTCGTCAAAAACCTCAGCAATGTCTTCATTGTTACTTGTTAGAGGGAATGGGGTAAGATAGTGGAATTAAAAAACAAATTGCAGCAAAATGGGGAGTTTGGATGTTTGAAGAGACTTTAGAAGGATGGATTACAAGGAACAGTCAACGGCAGAAAATATTGTGATATCGCTCTAATTTTCATGGAAACCCGGAAAGTCCCTGCGCCAGCTACCCATTCGTTATTTTTTCCCTCCCATC